TTTCTCTTATCATTGACAGATCGATGCAGGAAAAATCGAATTCGTTTTCAAAAGCTTGATCTATTGTTCAAATAACTAAAGGTTAAAGAAGACTGATGTTGACGAAATTCGTCGATACCAATGGTCATAAATAAAATACCAGCAGGATCTTGATTGGCTTCGATTTCGATGAATCGCAAAGTTTGGCAAGGAAAAACAAATATGACCGTGTTTACTTCGACCAGTGTTCAATGAATTACCTGGCTTCACTTCAGATTTCCGTTCGAGGTTGAAGGCAGCAAAGATAGCACCAATGAATAACAGTAAAGGAATAAATGTGAACATGTTTCTAATCGATCGAAGAAAGTTCATCGATACGATATTGTGAACAAGGGTTTTCTTCACGTTTTATGCGTGTTATAAAATAAACTAGACAGATGGTCGATGGAATATGAAGGGAATTGCTTGCCAATGCACAGGCACATAGACTCCCTGAACTAGCATGAAGTATGCCTAGATTTCATCGATAATAATCTGTAGTTGTTTTCCGACAGCATATTGTAAGATATCATCAGTTAGTTTGTGTGGCTCAACGACAACGACTTCACAAGAACGAAGACCTTGTTGACCGTCTTTTCATAGTCATGATAAAAAATTTCTCTGGTTTATATGAGATTTGAATTACATAGTCGAACAAGTACACGAATCGTTTAATTGCGTATCGATCACACCATTGCCTGATCCTCGTTTTCTCAAGTTGTTTCTTTGTTTGGATTTTGCCGATATCATATCATTAACAGAATCATTCGAAAGCAGTTAGTAGAAGGCCTAACGTAGCCGCCTAAGATAATACTGCCGACAGTTCGTTTCGACCAAATGATGAATCTGACGATCTAGAAGGTAAACCCGAAGTAGCCACAACAGATACTGATCCACGTCTAGCGTTAAAGATATTTCTCTTCAAAGCTGCTCGCGATCAATTTTTCGGAGATCTGCCGTACGAAAAGATAAGAACAGATAGTCGGCTATATGCTTGTTGTGCAAGAAAGTCAAAAGAGTGTTCGACTGACGAATTTTACAGTCTAGGAATCTCATTAATATTCGCTTACAATGGAACAAGAGAAGTTTGACTTAACTAGGTAATCGCAGATGGAAACAAACTGTTCGAAAGTTGTCCCGATTTGCAAATAGAAACAAAAGCAAACAAGTTTGATCCTTTAATGCTGTATAAAGAAAATATCCGCTCGATACGAAGCGCTAAATACACATTGTTCAATTTAATAAAACCTGGAAGTCCGTTTTCTTTTTTGAAACGGGCTTCGTAGCGACATCTCATGAGAATATATGATATACGTAGGACTATACGCTTAAGTCTTCGAAAATTCCAAATTTTGACTTTTTTTTGTAAAAAGCAGGATTCTTGGTAGAATAACGATAGTTTTTTTTTCAAACAACGCGCCACGAAGAATTCAACTTCTGGGTTGCTCGCCTCACATTAGTCAAAGATAATTTTCTCAATACAAATATTAGTACTACATTAAACAAAGTACAAATCAAAATCGCATCAACAATACCTACCTGATTACATTGGATAAATGATATATCTATCTTGTATTTCTCACATGAGTGACAAAGAAGAGTATAAAAAATAATCAGATAGTAAATATTGCAGAATTGCAAGCATAAGCACATAAAATCAGTCAAGTAATGGCAAACATGATGAAAAGTCTACATTCGCAATTTATCGTAGGAATCGAATTCAGGACGAACGATCCGGCTGTTGGATCCGATGGGGGAAAGCTTTTATTTTTATTTTAGCTCAAAAGAAATAGCTTTAAAAAGACGTTGTGATGGGAATACCTGTTGCTGGTCGGCCGGATACCTAGATTCATCCATATCGGACAGTCCGAAGGAAATATAAGTCATAATGACAAGATGAGCTGTGGGTATGTCAGTAACCGGTCACCAATGCCACTTAAAGTAAAGAAAACGAGATTGTAACGAATGATATGATGATTGGTAAGATGTTAGGGCATGAAATGCTTATTAGCCATAACAAGTGACTTAGTCGAAGTTTTTATGTAACACCCTCAAGGAGTGTGTAAATGATTTGGGTATGGTGCCAAAGTCTTTTGTCAAACTTCGATATATAGCCTTTTTTGTATAATATTCTTCTATCGACGCTTAACCATTGTTTTACATAGCTCTCTCTTCGATCGGAGCAGTTGCGATCCTGGTAAACATTTTTTTGATTCTTATCGACATAAAATTCTTGTCAATGTATACGATACGATGATAAAGTCAATTGCCGTATTATGATCAGTTGTTAAACGTGATGCTGCTTTCGTCGTTACCTGTGTACTAAAACACCATCTATATTCCTTTTTCGCGCTGCACGACTGACATCGTTGAAAATTGACACTAGAGAGAAAAGAAAAAATGAAGCGAAGGGAGAAGGGCAAACAAAAAGAACGAGAAAGGAAAAGAGCTAGAACAGCAACGCATCAACAAGAACATTCAAGAATGTTCTACAAACTGCTCCAACTGTCTGTTTTCCTATATTGCCGGCCTATATATATACGCGAGTGGATCGATGTGACTAGTCATACACATTTCAAACACTTCGCTTACGATTCATATCTTCGAAATCAACGCTCTTTAAACTGAATTGATTCACCACGATGGCATACTTTCCAATTCGCCGTTATCGTCTTTTCGATGATCCATTTGATCGCTTCTTTGGTGATCAGCTAGATCTATTCGATCCATGGCGCGACTTCGATACATTTCCAACAGCACTTTCGGTTCGACCGAATGCATTCCGATGGATCAACGAACCACTTCGATTAACTCATGGTATTCATCCAAACGAGCCAACATCGCCAGCGCCACATGCAGAAAAATTTCGGGTGCAACTCAATGTGGCTGGCTTCAATCCTGAAACAATTAAAACAAGGGTCGATGGCCGTAAAATAATTGTCGAAGCCAAACAAGAAGATCGACAACCCGATGGCGACTTCAGTGTCCGTGAAATTCGTAAAACCTACGAACTTCCCGAGCATGCTGGTAAGTAATCATTATCTTCATAAGTGATCTTGTATTCATAAATGATTCTTATTTACTAGATGCACAACATATGGCTTCCTATGTAACACCAAACAATATGTTGGTCATCGAAGCACCGATTCGCAATCCCGAAACCGAGCGCCGAATTCAACAAGCCAAAAATGAGAATCAAAATTTGGCTCAATTCGGTCAATATCGTGATCCGTTGTTTGATTATGCTGGCTTTTTGGGTGGTTCTGATTTTCAACCACGTATTGTTGACAAAGGCAACAACCAAAAACAATTGGAAATGAATCTTGGCATGAAGAACTTCAAGCCCCAAGAAATCAAGGTTTCGGTCAAAAACAACGAACTCATTGTTCAAGGTGAACATCAGCATAAAGATGCAAATCGTTCAGAACGATCATTCTTCTACAAATCGGCTACATTACCACCCGGAACACAAGTTGATCAACTTCAATCGCATTTAAGCGATGATGGCCAATTAAAAATTGAAGCACCATACATCGAACAAAAAGAAGGACAAAAGTCAATCGAAAGTCAGAAGAAATAAGATATGAACATTCAAATATAGAGACAGATATCCATGTTCGTATGTTGCGTCTTTTTTTATTTGTAGTATGCTAGTTTGTTCTCGTTTTTAAAAATAAAAAGCTTCGATGATCAGAGTTCTGGTCATTCTGAAACAAAACTCTTCCGATTTTTATTTTTGATTAAGCAGAGATAGACAAGAACGAACAACTAGTCGTCGTTCGATGCTACTTATCAAGTTCAGTGTAGAAACACAATTGATCTACACGATAGGTGCACTGAAAGCCTTAAGTTTCGAATGAGTTCGTAATAATACGATGGTGGGTCAACAAAAGCTTTTTATTTTTCCAATATCTTCTCACGGTGAATCTTATTTCCATAAAAATTTCGGGCAAATCAAGAAGTAGGCTGTGGAACCAAAGATAGCTCATTTTCATTAATTTCAACCAAAGCCTTTATGGTATTATCACCCGCATGAAGTATGGCAATGTATAATCTTTCAAAGGACGAAGTTCATCTTCAAAATTCAATGTATAATGATTAACGAGTAGGTATGAACGTGCGGATAGAAGTGGAATTACACGAGTTAAACGACCAACAAATGCTACTTGAACTGTAGGAAGTTTTTTGATAGTACCTAAAGATGGTCATATTGCGTTTTATTCGATAGTTCCGTGAAAGTGGTCAAACAACGATTGGTTTGCCCGTAATACATTTAGCCCCTGTCATAGCTAGCGTCATCAGACTTTGAATAATGCTTTCTGACGTTCACAGAAGGTGTGTCCAGCTTAGAATGAAACATAGGATTCTTATTTCTCGGCTTCGGTTGTTGCACTTTGCTTAATGATGATCAACAAGTTGGTAACATGGCTATTTATAGTCAGATGTAAAGAGTAGAATAATCTGCTTAATGTTCATTAGTAAACAAGTGAATATCCGCAAATTCGATGCAGATTGTGAAGAACTAAAATAACCAAGAATGCGTTCAAGATTAATAATTGCTGTTTCGTATATCAGATTTAAATAAAAATATACATTAATAGCACTTAATACCGTAACTTTATCGCGTACTATTAGCAATTAATGTGTGTCATTAGTATCCATCTCATAAGTTGATCATTCATACGGAAAGCAAAACTTCTTAGAATTATCTTTTAAAGAATGAGGATGCTGTTGAAATCAGTTAAGAATATATAGTATTTTATTGTTCTATGATGAAAATATTAGGAACAAGCCTATTTGATGAGAATCGGCCGGCGTCTTTTTCTTTTTTTTTTGTTTTTTCCACTTTTCATAACAATGATCATAACAACGAGAAGATTAAAAATAGTCAGTTCTCAAAATCAAAACAGAAAATTTGTTTCACTATGATAATTCTCACTGATGTTGAATATTCTTCTGTTGCTATTGTCTTGTTAATCGATTTAATGTTGACTTAATTCAAATACTCGGATTTGATTATCTGTAAAGCCAGCGAATAATGTTTGACCGTCAGAAGACCATGCCAACGACGTGCATTGTTTTTCTGATTTGACTTCATCCGCAACGGTTTTCGTTTCCAAATCCCAGATTTTGATTGATGAACCAGTTGCTACAATGACGAAGAAGTCAGTTGGAAAAACTTATCCTCTCTCAATCATCGCACAACTTACCAGCACAAAGCCAATAACGATTGGGTGAGAAACATAATGAATTGATAATGTCACCGCTTTCAAGTGTGTACAAATGACGACCATCGTTAAGATCCCACAACATAGCTTTACCATCGCGACCACCACTAGCACACAATGAACCATCAGGTGATACGGTAACAGTATTGATGTATGATTGATGTCCATAATGGTTGGTACGTAATTTGCAATTGCTTAAGTTCCAAACCTTGGTGAAAAATCGAAATGAAAAATTCATATATTGTTCGAAACGAAGAATTTACTTTAACGACTTTATCCCAACCAGAAGAAACAATTAATGGATCTTTTTGGTTTGGACTGAAGCGTACGCATGATACCCAATCGTTATGGTTGTCATCAGCAATGGTATATTTGCCTAAATAGATCAGAAATCGTTTCACAAACAGCCACTAAACTCAAGAGTTTTACATTGTCCAACGGTGTTCCACAATTTAATAGTTTTATCACGACTACCACTGACAATTTGTCGATTATCAGCCGAAAATGCCACACTCAAAACATCTTTCTTATGACTAACGAATTGTCGAGTGCTTGCCCCGACTGATAAATCCCAAAGACGTAAGGAATTATCCCATGAACCACTAACAGCAAAAAGACCATCACTTGATATAACAACATCCGAAACGAAATGCGAATGACCACGTAATGCTTTACTTGGTACACCACACGATGTACTTTCGCCACTTGGATCATGTTGGTTGTTTAATTGCCAGATGATGATTGTTTTATCACGCGATGATGATAGAACAATATCAGGAAATTGCGGTGTTGTAGCAATTTGAGTGACCCAATCATTGTGACCGACAAGAACGCCTTTTAATCTAAGATGTTCGCTTGACATTTGTTGTTTTGTTTAACAAGAGATGAGAGATGAGAGTCTAGAGAAAAAAAAGAAGAAATTTTGCTCAGATGTTCGAACTAAACCAACAGAACAAATAGAGAAAAATCTTTTCTAAGAAATGTAGTCGAATTTTACTTTTAGAGCTTTTACAAACACACGGTAGGTCTGATAATGATGTGAACCAATGAATGCGATCAATTGATCTCGCTGAAACCTTTTTGTTAGAAAATTAACAAATTATTTTTACGATATTTTTGCGAAGAAATTTCATCAATTTTATTGATTCGATCATATGAAAAATGGATTTTCAACGAAATGGTTTTTCACTACTTCTCTAGATGTCACCACCGGACAAGATCGAACTCGAATTTTCGCCTTCGCGAAAGTTCTGGAATGACAAAACGGATTGTCACGCATTTATAGTTTTACGCAAATCAGTATTTGAAAAACGTGTTACTACACGACAAATAAAGGTAAACCTAACATCAACAATAATCAATATACGTTTGAATGAATTCCACATTTATTTCAAATAAATAATTCTCCCATTCTAGTACATCAACAGACGAACGAATACATAAATATATAAGATTAAATAAATAACAATATATAACGAAAGGAAAAGCGACTAAGAGGAGACAAATCGAAACTGAAAGGATCACATACATTCATTTTAATACAAGTTCTTTTTTGCTTTAAAAGAAAAATATCGCGCATGTGGACGTACGGCTTTTTTTGTGTATTTTTGAAAAGTAGAAGAGTATGAGAAGTAACCCTGTAAATAGAATTCACGCGGAACTGAGAGCTCATGTAATCAATTAAGAAATGTTCTTGTGTATATGTTCTATCTGACGAAAAAAAACCTAATTTTTTGTTCACGGACGGTAGAGCAAACGGGATGTATGCAGAAAGAACGAAAGTAGAAGGGATAAATCTAATTGTATGATTTGATGTTTGGGTTTGACTAGAATTTTTATCACTCATTCATCTAAATCTTGTTGATTATTTTCATTCGGATGTCGAGAGCGACGAAAACAACATAACAATCGATTTTTGCAAAATTGACCAATTCGTCGAAACGGGATAGAACCGCATTTGCCAACGGATCCAATACTAGCACAAAGAGGTAAGAAGAAGAACATTGCAAAGACCCAAGACATAAACACTAAATAAAGGCAGATTGAAGACAAGGAAAACATCATTTGATAACATACTAATCGTCATTAGAAATTGACCCATCTGACGGAATGATGTCAGTGCAGATAATGTCATAGAAAATCCGGCGGCAAAAGTTGTAAAAGCAGCCATAAATACGGCAGAACCAACACGAGATATGGATTCTGTCACGCGTGTTTCACGCTCAGCTTGATGTTCTTTGTATAGCAATCGATACGAGCGAATAGCTAAAAGTAGAAAATATGGTTGAACTTTTTTACTTCGAAAGGAATCTGATTTACTGGGAACAGTTTGCACTTCTAGTTTATCCGAAGATGTCGATAACGATGCTAAGTAGCGATCTTGAATAGTTTTACGTTTACGTTCGATATCACGTGAGTTTGCATGAATGTAGCCAACACCGAAATGTACAACAAAATCCACTGAAAGACCAACAGACATAATCACAATAATAGCTTCGATAATTCCCAATTCCCATTTCAATGCAGCAAAAATGGCAACACTGACCGCTGGAAACAAATAAAAGACAACACGTTTTTTGCAAAAAAAGACAACGTCATCTTACCGATAGCAAATGTAATTGTAATCAACGCGTAGAGGGCAATAAATAGATTGCCTGATGTCAGAAAAAGTACTAACAGGGCAATACCGAGAGATGCAATAAGGGATGAATAGGAGCCGACAAGTAATTCACGTTGAACACCGTAGAAAGCAAAACCAGGCGATGAAAACCATGCGTGTTGTAAGTGTTCCGGCGCATGTCGTTTTATGTATGGATCAAAGAAATTCTTAATTTTAAAGTAGTAGCTATTGTACGAATCATAATCAGTACGATTGAGTGCACCTAAATATAGAATGATTCGAATTTACTGGTAAGAAGAAAAATAGAGCGAGGAAATAGATGATTAACGATTGAGAATGTACGAGTGAGGGTGTTCGAGTTGTCGTGACAATGTTTTCGTTATCACTTAGTGGAATTTGACGTTTACAAAAAAACATTCATCAACTACCAAAGAGTACCAGTTATGTTGGAACGAAGGAAACTCTTTCAGTACAATTCTACGCAATGTGAATCACGAACCAACCATGGAGTAGTGTAAGTCAATTGCAGAAAAGGCAACATGTTCCTTTGCACTTACTACACGAATTATCGTTCGATTGGAACTAAAGCAATTATCATTTGAGACAAAGTAACCTTTCAATCTCGCTTAGCTTGTCTTAACTTTAGTTTGTCAAACTTCCGTTTTTTGACATACCTCGAATAGTAATAATCACAGCAAATGGCCGAACACTTCCATCAATCGGTGATGCTTTGTCGGGTAAGACAGCCCAATTGACAGAACGTTGCTTATTTAGTTGTCGTTCACAAAAATCTGGTGGAATGTTGTTTGCTCCGGCTGCACCGGTTAAACATTGCATAGCCGTTCTTAGTGCCGCACGATGATATTCACCTGTTAAGACATCACGTATAGATCCATTCAGATATTTCCGAATCTCACGTCGATCATAACTCTTTTCCAGCTGAAAGCAGATCGCAATTATAGAAACACGGACGATTACTTTGTAAAACAAACCTGCTCCTTGTAGTACTTCTCTAAAGTTTTGTTGAATAGTTTTCTGTAATTCGAATAATTTAGAATTGGATTCTTGCGATTGTTTAATTGTTTCACACTGAGTTTGCTCAGCGTCTTATTAGTTTTCTTCTTTTGTGAATCGATGTAATCTTCATGATCCGATTCATCCTCTTCAATTCGATATCCGATCGGTCGCACAGTTTCCCGAACTAAGTTCTCTATCAGACTTGTATTCAGTTGAGACAAATGTTTAATCATTCCTAGATGATCTGTAACTGACAGATTTTGTCGTGCCCGATCATCAGCGACTTTGGCTACCAAAATGTTGTCCGATGTCAACTAAATGAACCAAAATTTCTAATTGAAATGATTATTCTAATCGACATACTTGATAAAATGCTTCGAAATCTTTATCTAAATCATAATTTGAACCGAACAGATCAGATCGTGTGCCCAGATCGGCTATGAATTGTTTGAAAAAATCCAGCGTGCGTTGTTGCTCAAGATACAATGGCATGAGATGAAGATGACCTCGGTCATTCATATCAAATATGTATCCATCATCAATATCACGTATGCCAAATATGAACGAAACAGCTGGATAAGCAAACAAGCGTTTTTCTTCTTTCGAGTAGCCATTGAACTTATTTTTCATGGAAAATTCGTATATTTCCATTGGATTGTCTTTTAGAAAAAATGCTACTTTTTGTGTTGATGGTACTTGTAGTTTCGGATAATGAAATACTCCAACGAGGCCTACGAGAACCGAAGATTAATATTGACAGTGCAATACAAAACGTCACAAACCTAAGATGCCCATGGGCAAAAAAAGTAAAACCAACAAAAAGCGTAGATTAATAATGATGAACGGCATAAGATAGCCAAACGTGTACTGACGAATATCTCGGCAGATTGTTGCAAGCCGGCGACATAGCTTTCCTGTTGATTCATCTGGAGATGGATCAACGACGGTCGTCAATCGAATCGATAACAAACGTGAAACAATATTTTGAATGTATTTTTCATAAATAATCTAGACAAATGGAAATCAAAGCGTTTCATCGACTACAATTCGAATTCTTAACTTACAGCGAATGCGGCTATTGCTGTAACTGTAATAACAAAATACAGTAAAATGCAAGTACCAGTAAAAACGCCGAAAACTTGAACGAATGAAATATTCGTTAACATATTCGTAAAAAATGCGGCTGATGTTGTAAATGATGTAACAAACATCGACGATGCTGCATGTTTTAACGTTTTCGCCAATATCTCGGTGAGAGCTTCTTCGCTCGATAGTAACCGACGCATTTCTTCAGGATCATTTAATAGTGGTGATCGATGGCGAGATTGAAATTCATTTGATGGAATCTTGAATTTTCTCTTCTTTTTCGTTTGCGTTTCATTAGAAATTTCGTTCAAAGGAATATTCACATCTAAATTCGACGTTGTCAATCAAAATATTCAACGTGCTGTCTTACCTTGTTGTTGTCGATCTTGATAGTTTCTTATCCATTCGGCTTTCTCTTGATCCCAGGTATCGAAAAAGACGAAAATATCGTCACAACCGATTCCAATCAATATGAATGCTGACATTAAGTTCATGAATGGAAATATTGGAATACGATAAATGACCCGATAGATGAAAAAGCTCACACCAATCGATAATGCCGCGCCCACAATAATAATTAAAGCAATCGAAACACTTCGTAAATAGAGTACGGTTATGCCGATGATCAATGCTGTTGCAATTAAGACGAGTAACATGTCTATGCGTAGATGAAAAGCATACAATGAGGAAAACTATGAGAGAAACTTGAATTTACCTTCGGATATTCTCGCCATCGCTGCTCGTTCTCGGACATTTGCAAAATTCAATGCAACTAATTTGATAAACTGATCACGATAAGTAGGCAATTGTCTTTTGCCAGCAAAATGTTTCTCGAATAATGCCACTAATTCTTGTCCTTTATAGATTGGCGAAATTGAAACAATCTGTTCGGTTTCATTGGGACATTGAAATTTGCATTGACAGTATTTGAAACAATTTCCTTTGGGTGGTGCTTGATTGGCACATGATTGAAGTAAAAGATTATTTCGATAATCTTTCATACAGCCACGCTCTTCACAGTACTTTCTCGAATGCGGTTGGCGACGTAAACACATGATTTGATCACGTGGACGGTGAGATTTATAACTTCGATAGTTCGATATGTAAATCATTGATAAAGCAACTTTCGATTGACTTTGGCTTTGTTGTAAATCATTGAGAAATTGCTTGTCAACGAAATGATCAAAAATAAAACGCGTTATGTTTTTGTAGAAACACGTATGACGCAAAGCAGTGTAAATAGCTTTTACTTGTTCTTGATGGGTGAAATAACCTGGTTGATGTTCGAGGATGACACGATTAAGAAATGTATCACTTAATGGAATGTCCATGTAACCATCTAAGTAATAGGGTAAACATGTATGGAGGATTGAACGAAATCGGTCGACGTCATCCGATGTGATTAGTTGACAATCGTTTTTGGACGCATATAGGGCAACGAAAGTTGCTAATGAAAGACTTGGAGTTGAATTTAAGGACAGAAGATGTTTAAATTTTTTCTCCCATTGACAAATGGATTGTAAATGTTGAATAGACAATAGATCGTCAGTTGAGTTTGTACGTTCAATGTAAAATTCAATCATACCATCGCGACCTTTGAAAAGAAATCGAATCAAAGAGTACATTAATGAAGTTCGTCTTTTAAAGATGATATTTATCCAGTCTGAATGAAAAGAGCAAATCTTACCTGCTCGTCCTCGATATTTTTCTTCTAATAGATAAGCATACGGTCGAAAAAGATCAAATGGTAATCTGCCTGATTTGTAATTCTTCCGATCAAATTGCGGCAGATTTCGAACGAATTTCAAGACAGTGATATTAATCCTATGTAAAAGAATGAAACATATATTGTACAGTCTTTCGAGCAAAGTTGCTTTACATTTTATCGTCGACATATTTGGTAATCAGATTATTGACATCATAATGCCTATCACGATGCCATTGATAAAGTACAGCTGATGCTTGAGAATTTTCATCAGCATAATCGGGCTCTTCGTCTTCATCAAATGCATTGTCATAGAAATTTTCATCTAAATTGCTGTAATCGATTAATTCATCTGTTTGTTTCGTGGAATTCTTCTTCTTGCGCCAGAAATCGTATTTTGCCAAGAAGTCCGATCGATACGAGTCTTCATCGAGATCTTCAACCACTACATCCGAAAATTGGTGATGCGCACCAAACAATTCGTAGTTTTCCAACGGTAATTCATAAGCAAGACGAAACTTTTCAGAAGCATGCCTCAAAACCATCAATTGAGAAAAGATTGTTCCTTTGCCACGTGCGCCCCATCCCTACACGGCAAGAAATATACATCCAACAATGCATAACCTTTCGTCAGTCGAGCAACTTACGCTCCTCGGATCCGAAAAGTCGGGCAGTTGCGTAAAAGCAAAGCCAATGATTGTCAATATGATCGAGATAAAAACAACGAAACCAAGGACAAGCCAATGATGACGGACGAGAAATCGTGAATAACTTAACGAAAAGACAAGTAAGAATTAATGACACTTTCCGAAACAACAACACTTTCAAACAAAACATCAAATCTCGCCGAATCAAAATCCAGTTACATACACGGTATTAGTTACAACTTGCATTTGGTCAGACGTGTTTCATTGATAAAATCAATACTACTTAGCGAAGGAATCGTGAACTAAAGCACGAATGAAGAAAAAACAGAATGATTCGAACGCGTAACAAGACTTGCATTTCGTTCTCCTGTATACGGCTTATTCATCGGCATATTTATCGACGTTTATCACCGTATGCAAAATCTCAGCGTGTTTTTTCTTCTCACACAAATAGATGTTTATACGATTTACTTTTTTCCTCCTTGCGCACATGTGACGCTATGGTAATCCTGTATAGTAGGTAGGCGCAAATCTAATTTATTCTGGTAAGTTGAAAGCTGGCACATGCATTAATATCTTGCACGGTTCGTTAGCTTCTTTTTTTCTATCGATGTGTCTGATTCGCGTTTGTTTACGACGAATGGTCGTAAGATTGATTTTCAGCTGTCGATAGCACATTTCTAAACGGAAGGCCCTCAATTATGACAGAGTCAATGGGGGGCTCACATAACAAAACAAATAGATTGTGATCGATGAAGATAGAATTATCAGAGGCGTATAATGAGCGTAGTTTTGAAATAAGTCTCGAAGCCCTGAGCAATATACAGCTAAAAGAAACATTAGTCGAACTTCCTATGCTTTTAGAGGTCGAATCACTGCGTCGGTTGAAAATTAGTGAAAAAAATCTTGTTGGATAGTCGCGTGTTTTTCCGTTCGCGTGAAAAACATCAATAGTTGATGATAATTTTTTCAAAGACACAAATTGGCGTATCCATGTCGTCATAAGTGTGCCATATCAGTGCAAGATGTTATCAAGTGCAATTTGTATTGTTAGTTTTTCGAATTAGAGCTGATGTCGGAAGGCGAAAGCAACATTTATTCAACAAATTTGCTCTCGAAACACGTAGTTGTACATCAATATTTGTCTGATAGTTAAGAATTAGAACAGCGTATAGGCGTATGTAACACTGATAAACAACGACAGTGCCTTATTCGTAAATGTTTCACACTCAGAATTAATGAGTCGTCTCTAAGACGAAGCATACAGATCTGATCTAACTGCCATCACTTGAACGAATAAATTAGCGTCGAGTGTAAAATATTCTCCAGACGATACGAAATGGAAGATAGAAAGCATAATAATAATACAAAAACAAAAAAAAAAAGAACGCGTACAATATATTGAAGAGACTTACCGTAACATGTTCTTATTATTGCTGGTTTAAAGAGGAAATCTGAGAAATCCGATCGATAAGTACAAGATGGCAATATTCAAGTTAAGTATATTGTCTTTTGTGACATCGTTTTTGTCTGTAATGGTGTATATATTTATTCTCTTCTTCTTCTTCCTTCTTCTTCTTCTGCTGCTCTTGTCTGACGACTGTTGAACAATAAAAACATTGACGATAGAAGAAAAACTGAAGTATTATTAATGAAAAAGAGAAATGACGTTTTCTGTTAGTGGTTCTCTTTTCTTTCCTCCCTTTTCTGTTTTTTTTCTTTTTCTTCTTCCTCCTTCTTCCACTCGGTTCTTAACGTTATCACAGAAATGAGTCTGCTGCTGCTAGCGTTCGCTTACATAAGAAAAGATCTTGTTTTCCATATTAAAGATTTTTTTATACTAGTAGTTGAATGCGTCACAGTATCGTCTCTTTTATTATATTCTCTCTCTCCCTCTCGTTTAGTTTATCAAAAAGAATTCTCTTTGCCCTTTCAACAATATCAAAAAAACGAGATAACTTGTTGCAACCGGATTTTCGCCGATGACTCACCATGTATGCCATAACCTAGAAGGAAAACATGATATTTACATTTATCGTTTCATGATGTTGTGCAGCGATAGTTTCCATAAATAAGATCAACTAAAAAATAATGAATAATAGATTGAACATAATAAAAACAAATCTCAAAGGAAACAAATCTCACATTTAGTTGTCCTTTCAGATAAAGAACGATCCTGAAAAATGACATGTAATGACAAATTGTTGGAAGACCTACCAACCGGTGCAAACGAAGATCTTTACATCCAAAACAAACTATCACAAGTATTCTTATTGTTGACATATGTGTATTTAGAACAATAAGCGTTTTTCTCAACCTTTCGACTATCAATGATAACCTTTAATACGCGATTCGTTTTGAATAGCATTACATTTTCTTGTTTAGACAGTCGATCGATCACCGACGAGATCAATGTCGTTTATACATCGAATGTTTCCATTTGGATTTCGTGATGAAGCATTTGTATTAATCAAAATCACGGTCCCATTTGCAATGGGAAACGTGCTTGCCTCGTGGTTAATTGCATTTATTTCATTGGCACTTATCGGTCATGCACATGGACAATTAGAATTAAATGCATGTGCATTAGCTTTATCTACTTATGTTCTGATTAGTAATTCTATTATGCTTGGACTTAACTTTGGTTGTGACACGTTGTTACCTCAATGTTTCGGAGGAAATAAACGTAAAATGGGTTTAACTATTCAACGAGCGATCCTCATAACAGGATATTCATGTTTTATTTCTTGGACTCTGATGTTAAACGCAGTAATGTATTGAATTGTTAACGAGAAAAGTTCAATTGACATTTCTATTTGATTCTAGAAATTTCTATTGAAATTTGTTGAACATGATCAGCAAGTTGTGAAATTAGCAGATATATTTTTACGTTCGTTTCTTCTCGCTGTACCATGTGATGGTCTTTCAATGCTATTGCAAAAGTATATCGCATCAAACGAAAAAACTTGGCCACTTCTAATTATTAATCTAATTGGTAATGCGGTGAATGCATTACTAAATTATGTCTTTCTATATAAATTGCATTTGGGCATACGTTCGGTGCCGCTGTCAATGACGATTTCATACGCAATTATTGCCCTATGTGCCGCTCTTTATATTCGCTTTTCAACGATTTACACCGAAACATGGCATCCGATAACTCGTGCTTGTCTAGAAGAATGGAGTGTGTATCTCAGATTATCCGCGCCCGGTGTGTTGATGATTATGTAAGAACAAGTTTTCTAGAAAAATGATATTCATGTCCGAAAGGAATTTATAGGACGGAATTTTGGTCGATTGAATTGAGCGTTTTCTTTGCTGCACACCTTAGCGCTCGATCATTATCCGCTCAAGTATGTGCTTATCAAACAGCATGGTTATTCTATTTGATAACTTCATCGTTTGCGACGGCAGCTAACATTCGCATCGGACAATTTTTAGGCAGTGGAAAGCCATCGGAAGCAGCAAATACCAAAAACGTGACATTAACTGTCGGTGCTTTTGTTATATTATTCAATATATGTTTGATTGTCACTTTCCATTATTGGTTTCCGTTTGCTTACAACACTGATGCAGATGCGTTAACGCTTTCACGTCGTGTTCTATTATTAATTGGAGTTCTTCAAATATGGGATGGATACAATGTGTTTAACACTGGTATTGTCAAAGCATGGTAAGATTCGTTCGGATATTGAGTAGAATGAATAAGTGTTAGTTCTAGTGGAAAGCAAAAACGCGGTGCAATAATTTCATTTTGTGGATTTTACCTTTTCGGTATTCCACTCGCTGGTGTATTGATGTTTGTTGTTCGTACTGATATCTATGGATTTTGGTTAGGTATAATAGCTGCCGAAACGGTTACTAACATTCTTCTATTTACTTTAATTGGACGATTCAATTGGGAACGACATGCCCGAGCAGCTCTGACGCGTATCAAATTCAATCCAACTTCTGCAACAACTGAAGTTGCCACTATATCAATTTCCAACGACGAAAAAGCAGATATCAAAACAGAAACAGCCGACAGTTGGATGAAACTAATTGGTGTCAAACTCATTGTTTTACTGTTGTTTATGTGTTTTCTACTCGCTGGAATTGTTACATCAACAATGATAACATTCTAGTTCTAGAATAAAATTTATCAAACTAATTATTTCTTATTTAACATTCAATACGCATGGTTTCACTGAACAAAATGAGATTTATCATTGTCATTTAAAATAATACTCAGGAAAATATTTACATGAGCATGATCTTGTAAAATCACTGAAACAAAAAAGTTCTTGACGTACAAATTATTTTTAGGTCGTACTACTTCGCTCACTCTTAGCAAAAGAGTATGTCAAAGAAAAGATCATATTTTCGTACAAACAGAGCAGCATATCAGTATTATGATTGATAGGGCAGTCAAGGGTGTCATAGAGTGTAGATCTATCATCATCGGAATGATCGTGTTATCTGCAAACAATGCGAAGCTAGGTCAGACTACGTACATTTGCAGAAAGAAGCCTTATAATTTGAGTGGAATTGAAAATTTTCCAAATGTCTAACTATCGAGTAGCAGTTGAAGTGCTGATTGATTTCTTTTCTGATGAAATTCAACCGTCGACAGACGCAAAAATGTTGAAAATTAATACTTTGTTACATTCGTCCTCATCAAAATCAAATCAGTCATCTATTTGACGAAGAAACTGAAGCTTACTCTCGCCATAGTATGCAAGACACATGAAGGTTGTGCAAATAACTTCTTTTTTTCTCTCTTTTTTTTTCTTTGCGAACTGTATTTCATTCTACAATACTCCTTTCTCATAGGCGAATTATTTCAGGTAGATTGATTAACGTACGAAAGTCTATCCCGCGAAATTTGATTCGCTTGCGTGCTGATTGCTTACGAACAGTTTCTAGTCGTTCTTTTATGTTTGCGGTTCGCTTGTACTTACATAACGAAGAGAAATTAAACAAATGGAACGTTTTTGTCAAAGACGGATGAAAAAAAAACAGAAGTGGTTGAAGTGAAGACTCAGTCATTTGATTTCTCTCTATTTAGCTACAACGATGTCTACTGAAATAAGCATACCTAGAATGCGACTTATCCCATCCACGCGTTTCACGTTAGCGCTACTCGTATCTTTTGCATTGTTCATTCAATATTCACAACGAGTGAGTCTGTCGATGGGTATCGTTTGTATGGTTAATAGGACGGCGACAGATAATGCATCGAAATTTTCAGTGAAATATGGATCAGAGTTGTTAAATGACAAAAAGTTCGCCTGGACAGAATTCCAGCAACAGATTCTCCTCGGCGCTTATTGGTTTGGTTACATTTTTACCTTAATACCAAGTAATCTATCAGAAACAGACATTGTATACACTCTATTCACATTTATTTTAAACAGGCGGTTGGCTATCAATTACTCTGGGTGCCAAGCGAATGTTCGCTGGCAGTCTTCTATTCAGTTCGATTGCAACTATTGGAATCTGTAGCATTTATTTCATTGATCGTTTCAATTTCTACGTTGCTTTGTTCTTTCGAATTATCATTGGCTTTACTCATGGTCCACTGTTTCCAGCAACGTACACTTTCTGGTCAGTATGGGCTGTACCTCTCGAACGGAGTACTTTGACAGCCATCGGATTCTGTAGCAATAATCTCGGGACCTGTATGTCAACATATCTGTTTATTTCAATCATTTTCTCCAATTTGTTTTTCTTTTCTTTAAGCTGTAACTATGCTAGTTGGTGGTCTCCTCTGCCGTTATGTTAGTTCAGGATGGGTTCATATATTTCTTCTGACAGCTCTGTGCGGCTTTATTTGGCTTCCATTATGGTTGTGGTTGGTAGCTGATTCACCCCAAACCCATCGAACAATTAGTGAAAAAGAACGAAATTATATATGCAAAAATATTGGTTTGAACAGTGAGGATAAAAAGAAGAAAACTGTTTCACTAGGGTCTTTGCCGTGGAAGAAATTTCTTCGGTCCAAACCACTGATTGCTTTATTTGTAACTGAGTGTTGCAATTTATTTGGTCTGTTCTTTTTCTATACAAACGTGGGCAAAATTTTAACTGAAATTCACCGTATTCCTACTCAATATACTGGATATATCTTAGCTGCCGGTTTTATCTGCATGCCGATTAGTAGTCTTCTAGCAGGTAGGTCAATGTTTACAAGAATTTACTAAAACAGTTCGATATTCTCGTTAAAGGTATCATTGCTGATAATGTTGTTCGTCGAGAAATGATGTCTTTGACGGATGTTCGAAAATTATTCAATTCCTTATCGTCATTCATTCCCGCTATCTGCATGATAGTTCTCTGTTTTTGTGATCATACTCGACAAGTTCTAGGATTGGTTACAATCTTAATTCTGCTATTTTCTTCAGGTAAATGTTTCTAAGGAAATATAATAGAGTAGAAAACTAACGAGATTTTCTCTAGCATTGGCTTATGGTTCTGGCTACATTGTGAATTTTGCTGATGTACTGCCGGCGTATTCATCAATTGTGTTCGGTATAGTCACAGCAGCGGCAACATTCGGTGCACTGATGGCTAATGTTATCGCTGGGCTTGTTATCAAACGACCTGTTCTGGAAGACTGGCGTAAAATTTTCATTCTCTTTTCCATCATATATGTTATCGGTGGTGTCACTTTTTTAATACTTGGTTCTGCAGTACCGCGGACATGGGCTTCGCTTAAAGTTCATGAGCCACAGCAACAGATGGACAATGTTACAACTAACGCTGCAGATGAAGAAGAAGCTATTCCGATGAAAACTGTAGCACCGATTAATGAGTAGTTAGATTCAATAAGATACTTGTTTTTTTTATTCTTCAAATTTCGACAATAAATATAATGTTTTAGTGTTCTATAATTTGATCTACCTGAAAAGTGCATGTCACGTATGTGTTCGTAGATAGATGTCGCAAGGTGACGAATAGAATAAATGCGTTCTATGAGGCTATGATGATGAATTAATGGTTATAGCTTGATATTGTCCTTTACATCCAATCTTTACCTATTCGTTGTGATGTTACTATTCATTACACATTATTATTGTTTTTCTTGATCTTCAGAATTCAGATTTCATTTTATTCCAATAAACACAATTTCAATAATGGCATCAAGTGATGTTCAATCAGATGAAAGTCTTTATCCAATTGCTGTTCTAATTGACGAACTTCGTAACGAGGACGTTCAAGTAACTAATTGTCTTGTTTTTCCGGCGAGTTTTTGTTTATTGTTTCGTTCGATTTATCTAGTTACGCTTAAATAGTATCAAAAAGTTATCCACTATTGCATTAGCACTCGGTGTTGAAAGAACACGATCTGAACTCATTCCATTTCTTACTGGTTTGTGACACATCGTGCTTTCGAAAAAATCAACTAGAATTTCTTTGTCATCTAGACACAATCTATGATGAAGATGAAGTTCTTCTAGCACTTGCCGAACAATTAGGAACATTCACACAACTTGTCGGTGGAGATAGTTATGTTCATGTTTTGTTGGTAAGAATCAATGAAATAATAATTATCTCTTGTATTCACTCATCGATCTCATGTTTAGCCACCATTGGAAAGTTTAGCTCAAGTTGAAGAAACAATTGTACGCGATAAAGCTGTTGAATCACTTCGAACTCTAGCACCACAACATTCAACAACCGATTTAGAAACGTATTTTGTACCCACTGTGAAACGTTTAGCACAAGGTGATTGGTTTACATCACGTACATCAGCGTCAGGTCTCATATCCGTCTGTTATGCACGTGTTTCCAATCATGTCAAAGGTGAATTACGACAGTAAGTATTGATTTTATATTCAACAGCATCGATCACGTAGTTTTGTTTTACCACAGATTATTTAAAAACCTTTGTCAAGATGACACACCTATGGTACGTCGTGCAGCCGCATCGAAATTAGGTGAATTTGCTAAAGTTGTCGAACCAGAATACCTACGTCAAGAGCTTGTTCCATTATTCAATAATTTGGCTAATGATGAACAAGACAGCGTCCGTCTTTTGGCTATCGAAGCCGGTATTGCTATGGCTGGTCTATTTCGACATGAAGATCTTGAACAGCAAATGATGCAAACATTACGTGCAGCTACTGAAGACAAGTCATGGCGTGTGCGATATGTCGTTGCGGATAAGCTTGTTGAAGTAGTATAATCAAAAAACGACTATACAGTGTTTAATTCGGAGTTCTTTAGCTTCAAAAAGCTGTTGGTCAGGAAATAACCAAGAATGATTTAGTCACAGCTTATTGCTCGTTATTAAAAGATCCCGAAGCGGAAGTTCGTGCAGCAGCAGCATCGAAACTAAAAGATTTCTCAAATAATTTGCCAACGGACACACGTGAACAAATAATTATGTCGCAAATTTTACCATGTGTTAAAGACTTAGTTGGTGATATGAATCAGCATGTCAAATCGGCACTTGCTTCAGTAATTATGGGTCTTGCACCGATTCTTGGCAAGGATAAGTATGTCTATTTGATTCAATAGCCAACACCAGTAAAATACTGATCTTCGTAGCACAATGGAACATCTGTTGCCATTGTTCCTCAATCAACTCAAAGACGATTTTCCTGAAGTTCGACTTAATATCATTTCGAATCTTGATTGTATCAACGAGGTATGTCGATCGGAATCAATACAGTAGAAAGTAAACTGATTACCTTCGTAAAAGGTTATTGGTGTTCGTCAATTGTCTCAAAGCCTACTGCCAGCGATTGTCGAATTAGCCAGTGACGCTAAATGGCGTGTTCGTCTTGGTATTATCGAATACATGCCATTATTAGCTGGTCAGCTTGTATGTTACTTTTCGACGTTAACTTCTTTCCATTTGTTCATCAACTGGTTTCTGATTTTAGGGTTCAGAATTCTTCGATGAAAAACTGAGCAGTCTGTGTATGAGTTGGCTCACCGATCACGTCTTCGCTATTCGCGAAGCAGCAACGAACAATCTCAAGAAACTAGTTGAAAAGTTCGGTCGTGACTGGGCACAAAATACAGTTATACCAAAAGTTATTCAGTTAGCACGAGATCAAAACTATTTGTACCGAATGACATGCTTATTTGCTATCAATGTAAGCGATTTTCTCAGAAAAACATCTGAATCTTTCATTCACTTATATAGGTCTTAGCGGAGCCATGTGGACAAGATGTAACTCAACGAATGATGTTACCAACAGTTATCACTCTCGGAAGTGACGCTGTTGCCAATGTTCGATTCAATGTGGCGAAGACTTTACAACGCATTTATCCAGCTATCGATCAAAAGTATGCGAAAATCGTTTGAACGCCAATATCATCGATTCAATTTGATGTTTTAGTACCTTAGCGTCACATGTTAAACCATGTTTAGAAAAACTATGTCAAGATTCTGATCATGATGTTCAGCATTTTGCAAATGAAGCTTTAGAAAGTAAGTTCGAGCGCTAGCTCACGCGTGAAAAACAAACTAGACAAAGTCAATAAAGTCTGAAAAAATAAAAATTGATTCGTTCTATGTAGAAGTTATCGAAGCTTTATAATTAATAAATATTCTCAGTCCTTCGGTTGGTTTCTGTTCGTTTTGTGATTTTGTCTCTGAATTCTGAGTGTGATTGATTTGATATATTCTTTCGCTTTTTATCTAGAAATACTAGAAACACATCTTTCTCTTAATAATCATGATAAAGAAGATCCTACTCAAACACTGGTTTGTTCTCTTGCACTTGCTTTTTAGAGGGATAAAGGCAACTAATCTAATTCTAACAAAGCTCGTTCCTGTTTTTTGAACCTTCAACAATCGATTTGCTTTTTTCTTTTAGTTTTGACGAAAACTTAATTGATCAATAACTGAATCCCAACGTCTTTTTTTTATTTGTAACTCACGTTTTTTCCCTTTTTTTTTCGTATTCACAATGTTGTCGTGGTGTCCACATAAACGTTTGGCGTTCTCAATCCTTTCTACGAGTTTTCTGTAAGAAAACCCTTTTCACTTTTTCCTTTTCATGAATCAAAGAAAACCATTTAATAAAATACTGTACGTTTTTTGTTCGTCTGACTAAACGCCATGTAAATGTTCAATGAAGACAACGATCATACTTAACAAACGATAGTTTCTCTTCAGATGTCTTCGAATTCCGTTGCTTTAGAAGAACTAGCTGAATTTCTCGATCCGCAAGGACGTCTGGATCTCAAATCTTTAGCTCTTCAAACATTGATTTCGTTAACTGCATCTAAAGAAGGTCGCCATTTGATCTTAGCTTCGCCAAATACAGACTCGAACACATCTCTACTATCACGTGTATGCCATTTGATATTCGAAGATGTTCAAGAGTCTGTTCGTTTCGACGCACTTCTGTTTTTGATTAATTTAACCAGTGATAGTGAACTGTCAATATTGAACTGCAAACAAACATCGATTCTCAGTGATTTCTGGTTGCAATTATTGAAAGTAAAGGTTTAGAATCGAAGACATGAAGTTTATGATTTGCTTTTAGCGTTGCGTTCAAGATCGTCAATATGAACATGCTGATGCCGGGTGCAAATTGCTATCGAATGTCACATCCCGTGCGATTACTGTTGACCAATTGAATGATTTTACCGAGTACCTTGATAAAGGTTATCCATCTTGGTTTGATGATTTGATTCGAGCATTTTCAACAATTGATTATAATCTTAAGAAGAATAATCTTGATTATTTATCGGCAATATTAGTCAATCTAACTCAGTTGAAAACTATTCGTGAACGTTTGAGAAATGAAGAACATTTAAAACGTTTGTTATGCTTTACTGATCATACTCATTCAACTATTCGACGCGGAAGTGTGGCTTGCATACTGAAAAACTGCTGTTTTGATCATGGTTCGTATTAGGGATCTCGTGATTCACAACCTAAGCGTGTCTTTATCTATTTCCTTCGTAGAAAGTCACGAGCAATTAGTTCATCAGATAGGTAACAATGATGATTTTATTTGTGCGTTACTTTTACCGCTTTCTGTCGCCACGGCTGACGAATTAACCGAAGAAGAAAACGACCAAGTGCCGATCGATTTACAGTATCTACCTAGCAACAAACAACTTGAACCAGATCGAGATATTCAATTGATTCTTCTTGAAACGATCCTTCTCGTAAGATTTTCCGAGTGAATTTGAGTGAATATTTTGTTTGACCATTTGTTTCAGCTGTGTGCAACAAAATCTGTTCGAGAATATCTTCGTTCGAAACAGATCTATTACATCTTGCGGCAATACCATCAGCAACCGAATCTAGATTTTGCTTGCAATCGAACATGTGAACGAATTATTCAAATTTTAATCGGAGATGAAGATTATAACGTGGAAACAGATAATCTCATGGAGTTAAATATACCACACGATTTACGAGAGAAATTTCATGAAATTGATCGAAAAGAAGAAGAAGCAAATAAGACCGAAGAATGAAATGAGTTATTTCTTTGTTGAAATAAAAGAAAATATTTGTTGAAATATTCTTCTTGGAATACTATCTGTATGTGAAAACAGTGGAAGTTCTCTAAAGCAGTAAATGGTATATGTGTAAGCATCGAAACCGATTTTGCTAATGCCGTTTTCATACGCTGATAAATAGCGATGATCGCAAACGACAAATGGTACTTATTAGTGATTTGAATATCACAATTAAATGTCAAATATCGCAGTTAGTACTATTGACGAAAGGTGATATTGACCCTATGAGGAGAACACAACACTGAGTAGTCTTTGTCAATATTTTGTATCGGACTCAATCGTAATAAATCTGTCTATGCATCTTTGTTGATGGAGCTTTAGC